CCCCCAAAACCCCAAAACCCCAAAACCCCTTAAACATTTACAATAATTGAAAATTTAGAGTTTATGAAATGTCTTTGAAAATTACTCTAATTTCTCTTGGTAAGATACCCTGACTTTCTACAACAAAGGGTCATAAGGGTACTTACTGTTTACTCGGACTAATGCGATCACGATGAGCCGTTATCTGGGTATGTAGATACGCTGGTATAAGTTTACTTCCCTCTTGTTGGGAGAACTGGTTAGGGAGATTAGTCGACTCCATGCTAAGTCTCTTCCCACTTGCTCTTCCCTTCATTTTCTTCATATTATTATTTGATCTAAAAGTCTTCAGCAGCTTCTTTGAAATAGAGGATTTCATCTGAAGGTTCTTGTTCACTCCAATATTGTTCCTCAAAGAGCTAGGGTTCTCATAAAGTCCGGATTTATTATTTGCCTGAGATACCATTAGCTTAGATAAACTAGCGCCTCTTGTAAAGTGAAGATTCCCTATCTGATTTGCTTGATTCGATACTTTCGTCAACTCAGTTTTACAGAGATAGCCTTCAATTTGGAATTGTTTTGGAGCATTTTTCTTGATACTCCGGCTTCTATTCCTTTGGGCTAAAGTTAAGTTGAACTGACTTACTTCTAAAGGGAAATCTTGCACGCTCAGAATTCTGGCCATTAGCCTGGATTTTAGAGTTTGATTTTCCAATTTTATTTTCTCTAACTCCTCTGTCAAGGGAAAAACGGATATCTATAAACTAAAAACACCTATTTACTCTTAGATGAAGTGCTGAGATGCTGGAAACCACCGAAACCTCTTGCCAGCTGTCCTCCAGAAGGAGGATTCAGAGTTGACAAAGGAGGATCTCTTCTATCAGTTATATTAAGATCAGGAGTATTCTTGGACGATAACTGCGCATCCAACTCATTCACTTTGTTCTGTAAAAATTTAACTTCGCTTTCTAGCTTTTCTTGAGTGGATTTTGATTTGGAAATTGCAGCTTCATGAAGCTTTTCAATCCTCAATTTTGCCTCATTAGACTCTTCTAGAGAAGCTTTCAAGGATTTAATATCATTTGAAGAGCTCTCCAAGCTTTGATGGAACGACTCGATTTGGAGCTAAAATATCAGACTCTATCACTACTTTTAACACATTTTGATGCCTCAAATATGTTCTTAGATCAGCTTCGTACTTACGGATGATCTCTTCATACTCAATTGGAGGGTAGCAGGAGTCCTAAAATTAGGAGAGCAACTTACACCAGAATGCTGATTCTCTACCTCTTGAGTATTCTCAGAGTTGAGCACAAAGCTCTTGTCGCTATTCTGATTCCTACCCAAGCTTGGATTATCAATAGATGTGTTGACTTGGGAGTAGTCCATAAAAGTTGAGATATCAAGATGCTGTTTATCAAACCGAAACTTCTTATTTTCCAATTTGTTCTTTACAATTTGGATGAAATCTTCTTCAGGAGCTTTAACTTTTCTCTTTTTGTCCAATTTGGATGCTAATTTTTGAGTATTTTTACGCTCTTTCTCAAGGACCTCTTCGAATTGCTCATCTTTAACCATCAAAAGCACATCAAAGGTTTGACGAATGTAAGAAATGATAAGTGTTGGGTTGAGCTGGCATAGCTCCAGACACTCATTATTTGAGCTGCTCTTCTTCGCCTTCTTCATGGCGATCTTTGATGCTAAATCTGAAGCAAGTGGCTTACTTCCGGATCTTCACGTCCATATAGAGTTTGACCAGTTCTAATGTTATATTCTGGTAAGCTTCTTTGTAATCAGAAATATCTTCTAGAATCATAAATTTAGCAATTTTTAGAGAAATTAACCTAGGATTGAGTAGAATTTGGTCAAATTGCTGAGCTAGGCTCTTAACAGCAAAGAAATTTGAAAGAATACCTTCAAGACTTGTCAAAGAGATTTCAATATTTCTCAGGGTTTTCTCTTCTTTGACCTCTTTGTCCAAAAATTTCTTTAACCTGATGTTCATTCTCTAAATTAGGAATGAGAGTGAGCTTTTAATGGACTAGTAATGGGTCAAGAATCAATTTTAGCCATATTAAAAATATTTCCTACTTCTTAACAAATAATTTTCAATTTTCAATATAAAATTTTATAAAAGGGGTTTTGGGGTTTTGGGGTTTTGGGGTTTTGGGG